GAGCTTTAGCTTAGGATTTTAAGAGGTAATTACTGTACTTCTGTGGACTTCCGTTTCCCCATTTATAAAATAAGGTGGACTCATTAATCTCCTAGGTCCCTTCAAGTTCTAAATGTACGATCCTTTGACTGAGGGTGCAGGGATTGGCACCCCCCCCCAAATTGGATCTGTGAGGTGAGGCAGAAGGGACAGGCGGTGGCAGGCAGAATGAAGTTGCCCCTAAGGAAGAGGAGGTCTTCACTTTTCCCTGGGTCAAGTTTTAGATGGGAGAAATAGCAGATACCCTGGAAACTCTGTCTAGTAATCAAGCACTGTGGGAATTTTCCCAGCCTATAGTCTTCAGCCTCAGCAGGCTGCATTACCAGAAAAGTAAGCAGGATTTGCACCCATTTTCAAGCTGGGAATGAGGAAGACAGTGCCTGGTAGTAAAGGGAAGGTCTCCAGTCAGGGGAGCCCTGCAGTGTATGGCAGAGGCACCAGGTGGAACCACCAGACTACTTTTCCTCCCAGGGCAGAGGAATTGTCCCAATCCTTCTGCTGATTTGCTCAAGGTCTTCAGCTGATGGAACTTCCCACTTCCTCCTTCTCATCCCCCAGCCCTTCCTGTTGAGTATTCAAGACTTCCTGGGGAGGCTGAGAGGGAAAGGGAGGAGAAGGGAGTACAGTCAATCAGGGAGCTAGGGCACCTAGAGCTCTCGTAGAAACTAGGAGGGCCCCTTGTGGGGAACAGTGAACAATGGAAACCCACCTGAAAAGAGCAGAGGAGACAGCACCCCTGCCCCAGACTCTTCTTCTTCCAGCATTCCCTGGGTCTCTGGCATATTCCCTTATTATCCTAGGACAGCCACCACCTCAGACCATGAACCCTGCTGTCAGATTACTTCCAGGTGTGGGCACTCTCTCCACCAATGGCAATCAATAACCCTCTATGCCTCACTTGATTTTGTGAATTATTGTGACGGAGAAAAAAAAATCAGCATTCCCTTTTAACCAGCCTCTGAAGTGATGAACCTCAGATTTTAGCTAAATCAGTTCTTAAAATACAGACATGGTCTCCCATTAAACCCATACACCCAAATTTAAACCCTAAAGGGGTCTCATGGACAGATGAAGAAAACAGAGGCTCAGAGGCAATGACAGACCTGAGATTCAAACTCAGTTCTTCTGAATCCAAGTCCAGCCCAGCTCTTTTATACTGACTCCTACTTTAACAATGGGTTCTAAGGTCAGGAGTGTCTTCATACTTGGCATTCAAGAAGTTTGATGACTGACAGTAAGAGAGGAGTAGTTACCCTCACAGAAAATAGAGATACATTTTTGGGATGAAAGAGGACTTGAAACCAAGCCCTTTCCCCCACCCCTCCCTGAAGTATCCGTGTTAGAAGGTGGAGCTCATCAAATCAATCCGAGTACTTAATCTTACAGAGGAGGAAACTGAGTCCCTGGAGAAGGAAAGTGACTTGTTCACTGTAACAGAGAAAGGTTCATTCAATATATTAGAGATGGACAGCCACCTTTGAAACCAGGAAGATCTGGGTTCAAGACCCACCTTTGACACACCCTGGCTGTGTAGCTAGAGTCAAATCATTTAAAGTCTCCAGGCCAGTCTCTAAGACTATAGATTGCAGAGAAGGCACTGACCTATGTTGGGAGGGAGAATTTCCTTACCTGAGAGTTCTCTATGCCAATGAAATCACAGGTCTAGACCCTATCTCTGTGTGACAAGCACTGGATATACAAAGTATAAATAAACACTCTGCCCTCAGGGAATGCATATTCTAAAGGTAGACAAAATCAAATCCATTGAGGTTTGAAAGGGAGGATACTTCCTAATCACCTCGTATTTAATTTCTGTGGATCTATTTTCTATGTTGTTGAGTTCTCTTGGCAAAGATACTGGAGTGGTTTGCCATTTCCTTCTCCAGCAAACAGGATTAAGTGATTTGTCCAGGGTCATATAACTAGCATCTGAGGTCTGATTTGAACTTGGTCCTCCTGATACTTGGGACAAGTTCTATGCACTGCACCACATAGCTGCCCTATTTAGTCTCTATATTTCTTCTCTGTTTGTTTGTCCTTCATTGTCTGTTGGTTAGTAGTTGGTGGTGGTGGTGGCAAGGAAGGTGATCCTCTTCTCCACAAGAATTGCTCCCCTCAATCATGGCTGCTGGGGCCAGGCTAGAAGCAGGGCTGATGGTCTAAGGGTCATTGCAAATCCCAAGACCCTGGGCTTAGAGTCCTGGGCCACCTCCATCAGGGTCTGAGGGAAAAATGGTGGTAAGAAGCGGTTTGACTTTCCTGTTACATGCTGCCTCCTATGTTTCCCTCAGATTGCCTTGCAGCAAGAGTACAATCTCCCTTTTCCTGCCTTGTCACCCTGCCTAAAGGGTCCCCTTCTCTGCTGCAAGGCAGCCCATGCTGTTGGCAGGGAATGGGACCAGCTCACTGGGCCAAGGAAGAGGGACACACCTGCTGTGTGTCCTGGGCTTCCTTCCCCACCTCTAGACCATGCTAGAACTTGGGTTCCACTAATCCAAGCCCCAGCTGCTGGGAGCTTCCTTTTTCTTCTCTATTTCATCATCATTCCAACTTGACCACAGCTCCACCCCTGGAGTACTATCTTACTGCCCAATCTGTTTCCTAGAGTACAGTTTTGTCAGTTGTCCTTTAAATCCCCAGCACTGGGGCAAATTTCTGTGCTTTAGGACAATTTCCCACATGGTTCCCATCATTCACCTGTTACCTACCTTTGTCATAACTCTGAGTCAGAGGACCTGGGTTCAGCTGCTATCTCATTTACTAGCTGTGTGACTTTTCACCATTCTGAGCCTCAGTTTCCTCATCTGTAAAATGGGAGAAATAGCACTTGTTCCTACCTCACAAGGTTGTCGTGAAGAACGAAAGAGATAATATCTGTGTCTTGTATATCACAAAACATGATATAAATGTAAGATATTGTTATCAAGACTGGACACCACATTTTGAGAAATACATTGACAAACTGGAATGTGTCCACAGGAGGGCAACTGAGATGGCAAGGGGCTTGGAGGCCATATCAGTTGGAGGAAATGAGTATGTTTAGCCTAGAGAAGAGACAGGGCAAGATGGCTATCATCAACTGAAGCAGGATGAGGCTTGCTTTTCTTAGCCCCAGAGGGCAGAACCAGGGACAGAGGAAAAAGGTGCAGAGAGGCATTTAGGTTTGCTGTCGGGAAAATCCTTCTAATGGTTAGATCTGGCCAAAAGTTAAAAGGGCTGCATTGAGAAAGCTTAGATTTCCCATCGCTGGGGGTCTTGAGTGGAGATTAGATGGCCATTTATCTGGATGTTGTCGAGAAAGGATTTCTGTGTAGCTAGAGACTAGGATGAGGATGATTCTGTGACTTTTCTAGCACCAGGAGCCACTGTATGCAATGGAGCTGTTGGTAACCTGGGAGAGCCCTGGGAGGTTCCAAGGAGAGGGGGATGTCTACAAGGAATGAGTCTTCTGGATCAAGCAAAGCTAGCAATGACCTTGGGTGGGATTGGAATGATCCTACATTCAATAACCAGATGCCTTGACGAATGTGTGGGTCATCAGACTCCATATTGATTAATGCACTCAGCTAATGCCCCTTGTTTGGTAAGACTGGGTAAATTTGAGCAATTAGTAGTAATCAGTAGTAAGACTTTGGCTTTTTCTCTTCTAAGGAGAAAGGCATGAGAGTTAAAAGAATGCTAGACTAGGAATCAAGAGACCTGGGTTCCAAATCTGCTTGACACTAACTATCTATGGGCGAGTCACTTTGCCCCTGTGAGTTCCAGGCATATCTTCCCTATACCTACCATACTTATCTCACAGAGTTATTGTGAAACTCAAATGAGGTAATTCATAAAATACAAACTTTAAAACAGAGATCATTGGCCTAGAGAGGAATCCATTTTAGAAGGTCCATGAACTCGGATGAAGAAAAAAAATACATCTTTATTTTCACTAACCTTTGCTTTCCTTTGCAATCCTATGTATTTTATTTGACACATTTGAAAACATTATCCTGAAAAAGGATCCACAGGTTTCACCAAACTGCCAAAGAGGATCTGGACATCAAAAGTGGTTAAGAAAACCTGCTTTTAAGTGTTGTATAAATATGTTATTAATCACAATAATAATCCTAGTTGTGACTTTTGGCATTTCTCTCAGCCTCAGTTTCCTGTTCTGTAAAATGAGAGGGTTGGATTAGATGACCCCTTAATTCCTTCTAGTTCACTTTCATATATCACTTTGTTAGAGTGATGTATGACAACAATCCTGGGAGGGAAGATCTGTGATTTCATCTGCAGGGAGAATTTCCAGTGTAGAAACTCCCTCTACCCAGTGTATAACTCAATAGGTAAGTCCTAGGGAGTTGTTCGAGGCACATAGTAGTTAAATGAATAGCCCAGGGACACACAACTGCTAAGTACCATAGGTGAGCACCAAACCCATCTTCTTTTGACTCCAAGCCAAGCAATCTACCCATTTTGCCAAGGCTGCCACTATGAGGTAAACAGGCAGGGATTAATTATGCTCCTTTTATAGCTCAGGAAAATGAAGCCCAGGAAAGTTATTCAATAATTTAATTTTGTTAAGGTAATAAGAGGGATAAAGACCTTAAGATGAAGTCCTAAAATACTTAGAAAAACTCTTAATGCTCTTTTAAGGCACTCTTTCCATCACCTATTTTCTCCCACCCTGATTCTACCTGTTTCCACACACATGCCCCACATTGGTAGTAAGGGTCAAGAAACAGCTAGCTTAGAGACAACCCAGAGCCCCCATTGTGCATGTGGGATTCTCCTGGTCAATCCCCTGGGTATGAGCTAAACTGGATGCATTTATCCCCAAACTCACTCTTTGGCCAAGTGCTAAATAGGGAAAGGGACTAATGGAGGTGGTGGGAGAGGGAGAAGGAATGCCATAAGAGTTATTTCTTCTAGAATGGTCTAAACATAAGGAATTAATATCAGCTCTCCTTCTCCAGCTGATGGCCACAGATGCAGACGAGGGTGATAACGGGCGTGTGTGGTACCGCATCCTTCATGGTAAGTGTTACAAACCCTTATTCCTAAAGGATAGGAATCATCATCCCCTGGTTTAGAACATTAGTCCCCCTCCCAAAAGGTCTGTACCCTGTCCTGGCACCCTGTAACCTATAACCATGAAAAGGTTGGGGGAGGGGTTGGAGAGAAAAAAGGACAAACTTTTCAATTATATATATGTGGGTGTGCATGTGTGTATTGTCCATGGGGATGGATGGATAGATAGATAGATAGATAGATAGATAGATAGATAGATAGATAGAT